TTCGCCTGATGGACGGACGAACGAAACACATAATGTACTTTGACGAGTGCCAGCCGGATCTGGAATGTACCGTCATTTTCAGAGGACCATGCAAATGGAAACTGTTCAAAATTAAGCGTGTATTTAAATTTATGCTTTGTGCTCTTTATTCTGCCAAACTGGAAATTGTTTCGTTAAGTCGCTATGCGTACGTCGGTGAAGATCGCGCAGACCATGGTGTGGAACCTTGCGATGTTTGCGACAGTAATCGCTCTCTTGCGATGAACGCCGCATTTGACGGGCAGCACAGAATCGTTCTTAGCAACAGCCCTTTCCTGTCGTTTGTCAGATCATATGCCGAACAACTTTCCTACCTACCTGGCCGTCCGGTCAGCGGCAAATTCGAAGCAAAAGTGCGTGATTCTGAATTGGACTCATGCTGTGAGAGCGACTATGCTTCTTCTAAAGTTGCACCCAACCGTCGTTATCACGATTTTACGTTCAAAACGTTAACTGATGATATAAGCAGTGAGTCAATGCAGCATGATGTGGCCAACTACCGCGCGTTTCAGGGCAGAATCTTCAGATCGAATGTCTCAGCAGAGCTACTGCGAGCGGCAGAAGAAATGGAAAGGGATGCTCATCGCCGCAAACTCCGACGCACTGTGGCAAAACGGGTCGATCGGCTGCACCCATTCTTCCATCAGCGCATCGCCCTTCTGCACTGCAGCTTTTCGTCAAAGTCCGAAAACGCTCCAGGATTCTGTCTGCGTCCCAGAGTGTTCGTCATGGACTTCTACGGTCGTTCTGACGTCACTTTGGGCCATTACTTGGAGCGCTTCTGTTTCAGTCCATCTTTCAACTGCCCAAGGGAAAACTGCTGCGCTAAGATGGTATATCTTGTTCAGACTCAACTGACGTTCTGTGTTAAATCAGATATCTACACTATGGTGCAAAAGTATTCATTCATTCGTTCGTTTATTCAGTCAGTCTTTCTGTCATTCACAAATATCAGAGTCTTTTCTTATGTCAGAGAGCCTCACAGAAAATTTCGACCTTTCTTTCACTACTTTCATCCGTAGTTGATACTGACGGTATTTTTCTCCATGACAAACTTTGCTTTCTTTGTCATAATCTGATGTCTCAAAATAGATTTTTCGCTTTCTCACGATTTGATACAAGGGTCACAAGATTGACAAATGGAAAATTTATTGTATTTCGCTTTCGAATGCGATCTTTTACCGTTCTCCATGATGTAGATGAGGATTTAGGGGTTCGTGGGATACTTATAGTTACCCGGATCGGCCGGTATTCGGCGATGACTCGCGCCGTCGGAACGCTGTGCTGTCATAGCGCATGAAGTATTGACACCTGCCGACAGTGGCCTGGGCAATTTCTTACAGACGGGTTCTCCAGTAATGTGCTGGTTTTTTTATCAAAGTTGTCTCTTTAGCCTTTTACGAATCGACGTCTAACCGCATAAGAGCGATGATGACATTGGCGGCCATTTTTTTCAAAGGGGTTGGGGGTGGGAGTCGGGTCGCTTTCGCCTCGTCGTATGACTGTCATTAAGCATTGTGACTTTTTTCTAAGGAACGAACTTGTCGAGCTCAAACCCAGCCTCATCCTAATGGTCTCACTGCTGCTTGTCCGCGACTGTTTGTTTGTCGCAGCTAGCCTTCATATCTGGAGGTCGTTCTCATATTCAGTTGGTCAGCATCTGGGCACGATAGAACTCGTGTATTAACGATGCAAAAGTTACTGCCAGAGAACTTTGGAAGTTTGGAATTGAGAGATCCCCTTAGTTGGCAAGAGTTTGCTGCTTAAGAATTCCCAGAGAAAATGTGATTTTCCCATCTGTCGATAATCCAAGTTATACAGGAGGCTTTAGAACTACTGAATGTCGACTATAGAGTTTTAATTTCGTCTGCCTGTAAACGGCATATAGCATAGTTATTAATAATCTGTTTTCATTCGAACAAATTTTGCTTGAGCATTGCAACGCAGTATTCATTGGAAAGTTTTGCTCACCCCACCCTTCTTCTCATGCTAACTGTTAAAGCAAGTAAATGTCGGTCTGAGTTTGTTAGTTCGATTCGCTTTCACGAACTCAGAAATATAACCAATCAGGTGGCTAAGGCGGCTAGCAAAGTTTAAAAAATCCTCAACTTTTTACGCACCAAGGGCTTCATGAATAAGTTACATTTTAGACGACGTCAGAAATTTGAGCTGCTGTGCCAAATGCTATCATTTAATCATCTTGTACACCTTTTGATTATCTGTTTGAGTCTCGAACCCATCGATTTAAACGCTTTAGGTTCAGTGTGATTCCACTGTTCCGTTATAGCATATTTGCTCTTAATATGATTGATTACAGTTCCGAACAAGATCAGAGATAAGGCGTCATCTTGCCTCAATACGTTTCTGACTTCGAACTCCAAAGTTCATTGCTGATGTTTTGCTTC